TGCTTATGGGTGAGATTAAGCTAGTTGATGTTAGGAAAATATTCCCGTTACAGCATAGTCGTTACAAAAATTTAGAATATCCAACGTAATGAAATTGACCTTTTTTCTTCGCTTGAGTTGAATTTGAATCAATGCCACAAAAAACTTTTCATGACTTTTTAGCTTTGGATGGAACAAAAGAGCCACGAGGGGAGCTCAACCACACAATATAAAAATACAGTCGGGATGAAAAGGAAAAAATCAAAGGCTCCAAGTTCGTTATGGACCACGTCAGCAGCACAACTAAAGTGGACACGTGGTGAACACTAAACAACCCACGTGGAAAGTTGGATTCAATCATTTCATTATTGGACCACATAAGGATCAAATCTTTGGCCGAATCACAATGCCAACTAAACTTGCCTCCTTTCCACTGTAATCGTTGATTAAATACTCTGATAGTATTTTCAGAAAAACTACTCAGAAGGAATAATTCTTCAACTCTGAAAGCGTACATTTAAGAGGTTAAGATTCTTGACAAGAAGCAGCCTTACTCTCGTAGCAACTTATCCATTTTAAAGATAATCTCCTTAAGTTAATCTCTTTTTTAGATTTGCTTTTTAAAATTCAAATATGTCAAGAATTAATTGATTGATTAAGTTTATATTAATTGAGGGTTAAAGGGGTAGTGGACTTAGCTGTAACATCTATGAGATTTGTTGGGTACTATGCTTACGCAGAATTATTAATTTGGCATAAAGGCATCACCTAGAGTCAAACTTCTTTTACACCAAAAAGAGATGCCAACTCTCCCACAGAAGGGAAAATAATGCCAACCCTTTTATATTCAAGAATTATCAAAGAATTAATTATTAATATATGCATATTTGCGATTATTTTGCTTTAAAATAGAAAATTATAAAGGAAAAAGGAAAAAAGGGTCCTACGATCTTAATGTAAAATAAAAATTACAATATAAAAGAATTCGGTAAATATTTTATGGGAGATTCTTTTTTTCTCCTTTAATTACTACGGGTAAAGTATTGAAACCTGATGAAAAAAGAGATTTCATTGGAAATTATAATAGTAATTAAATGTATTTTTTCAAAAGTATTAATCTTAATTTTAGGTATATCAATGGTAAAATACCTATTATTTTTTAAGTATCATAATCTGAACTCTATTATTTAATAATATATTCGAACCATGTAAATATTTGATTAAATTTTTGAATTGATATCTAAATTTGTACATGAATATTATAGACACTACTTTTTAAAAACTCATACCAATTAAATATCGAATTAAATTAAATTAATTAATTATTGTTAGTTTATATAAAATAATTAAAATTTAAAATTATATTTAAAATTATTAATAAATTTTAATAAGAACTACATTAATTATAAAGAATTTATAAATACAAAATATAAAAAATTAAAATTTAATATTAAAAATTATTATTTATAATTAAGTTAAAAAGTTGTAAATTTCTTAAGATCACTATTCGAATCTTATTTAAATTTATGACAGATAACAAATTTATTATTTAAACTCAATTATAAAATACTATGATCTTATTTAATTAATTAGATGGAGTGATGTGAAGTATATAATTATAAGGTACACACTAACATCTCTAATTAATTTGGGGAAGAACAAAAAAAAAAGTAGAAAGTTGCAATGATGAATCTGATCTTAAAAGTAAATCATGGAAGTGGAAACTAAGCACAGACAGCATTGTCTGCTAAATAATTTCTAAAAATATCTTAACACAACAGTTAATTTGTAGACTGAAAAGACGACACCATTCAAAGTTGAAGCCTTTTGCATTATCCAATCGTTTGAAGATTAACAAAAGGAATGCAAGTCCAATTGTGATTAGATTATGTTTGGCAAACGGAAAAAACATAAAAAGCTTCTCGATTCACGAATCCGCTTTGAGATAAAGTTTGGAAATTATCGAAAAGTTTTTGTTGGCAAAACCAATGACAAATTCAAGGTACCCGTTTTGCCCTTTATCTTACTAGCATACATGCTTTACTTACAGTAAGTATGACTGTCGAAGGACAACTATTACTATTGCTTGCTCGTGATGCTCTGGTTGGGTGGCAATTAGCTTGCCTGCTGACATTTATTATATAATTTATTTTAAATAATCAATCAAATAAAATTGTTATAAATTAGTAATAAATTGGCTGTGCTATTTTATTAAAAAAAGTGTAGAAAAATAGAAAACTGAGGGGAGGGAAAGCGCACACAAATCAATGGAGATCCATCAAAAGTCTTGAGCCATCAGAAACCCCATTGGATAATGTTGAAAGGAATCAGAGAATTCCGTACTCGGGGCACAAACCGCGGGTTGTAGCAGGCTAAGAGCGACCAAAGTTAAGAGCTTTATTTTATTATTTTTTTGTTTAAGATTTTGTTTTTTCTTAAACCAGAAAGAAAACTAGCTCTCTTTCCCTCTCTCTCTCTCTCTCACACACGCAAAAGGATGTTATGGCTGGAAACACGTGCTGTTTCGCACGTGCATCGGGGCAGGCAAATATTGTGTAGGCTGTAACGGCAATGCGTTGCCCGGTTGACCGGAGACAGCAAGGTCGCAGGGGGGCGTGGCTCGTGGAGCGCACTGTCCCCCAACAAGCGTGTGCGTCCGTCGCTAGACGACACCGACTATTCCAGCTCTCCACTCTCCCTCTCTCTGCTCTGTCTTAGGGACCTTTCTGATCGTAATTTGGTACTATCCCTGTCTGATGTCTTCAATTGTTCGATTAGTCAATCAAATACATGCTATTGACAACTGTTGGGCGAAAATTGAGTCACTATTTCTTTTCTTTTTCTTGTTTAATTTTTTACCCAAATATTAGAAATCTTGCTAAAAGCTGGTGATAATGTTTGCACATAATACCAACAGATTGGTAACGAGTCTACTCAACAAATTAAGGTCGAGAGCCACACGTTTTGCTATAAAGAATTAATCATGGTATAATAATTAATTTCTAAAATATAATTGTACAATTGTCAATTATGAATTTTGATTAAAAAGAATTAAACAAATGTCATTAGCAAAACCCATAAATATAATTGAATAAAGAGCAAGGAACCCTGGTTTGCTTGGCAGGCTCCCAAAGTAACGTAGCGGAGCAGAGTCTCCAAGCCAAAAGGTAATAAAATTCCAATTCACTTGCTCCCACGTAAACATGTGACAGATTCCCTGTTTCTCACTCAACTTAATATTTGCTAGTTGCTACTACAACCAAATGGCGCACATCATGGTCTGTAAGGGTTTTTTTTTCGGGGAGGGGGTTGGAGGAGGGAGCGAACTAGAAAGTGGAAAGGGTATATTGGTTAACGTAGACAGAGTTTTGTTGGGGGCCCACTGGATCAACATCGTCCACTTATGTTGGGTCCCATCCCATCTAGAAACCAACCTATTGATGTTATCCACGGAAATTTGTTTTTCTTTCTTTTTCTTTTAATTATGATTTTAATTGCTCGAATAAAGAGGTGGAGAGACAACCTGGAC